ACGGGGATGAGAAGCGGCCGCGGCGAGGGGAAGGAGGGAGTCGGGGGTCACCGGGAGGACTGATGCAAGAGCGGGCGGCGCGCCCGGCGCCCGCGGCGCTCCCTGAGGTAACTGCCCCGCTTCCGGTAGACTTGGCCGCTCTTTTGCCCAGGGTAGACTTGGCCTCGCGTTTCATATGTCTTCATAGGTACGTACATAAAGTGGCCTTCATTGGAGAACAATTAACGTCGTAAGCTCGGCGCGCCCGGCGCCCGCGGCGCTCCCTGAGGTAACTGCCCCGCTTCCGGTAGACTTGGCCGCTCTTTTGCCCAGGGTAGACTTGGCCTCGCGTTTCATATGTCTTCATAGGTACGTACATAAAGTGGCCTTAATTGGAGACCAATTAACGTCTTAAGCTCATTCTTGTCTGGTTGTGTGCAAGCTGTCCAGGAGGCACGTGGGCTCTGAAGGGTGTTAGTGGTCCCTTGCGTGTGGAGCGGCAGGAAGGAGCTCAGCCGCTCGCCCTTCCCTCTGCAGAGTCGGACGTGCCGGCCGAGCTGCGCGTGGCCAACGGCTCGCAGAAGTTTGTCAACTTCACCTCCACCATTCAGAACCAGCTGCTGCTGGTGTCGCTGCTGGAGCACCTCTGCCACATGTACACGCACAACCCCGTGCACTCCCGCTGCTTGTTCCGCAGTGAGTAAGGGCAGTGCAGCCCCCTCTCCCGAGCCGCCTTGCAGGCCTGCATCCCTTGAACTGTCTGTATGGAGTTGCCGTGCAGGGTCTTAAAAAAGTTACACTGCAGCATTGCCATGCAATGTCATAAAAATGTTCATCCACTGGGGGACAAGAGTGCTGCTAGGGAGAGGATGAATGCCCTTCATCAGCTTAGTGGGTAGCGAGGCCCTGTGTTACTTTGCAAAATAGGAACTGCATGTAGTTGTAGGTATTGGTCAGGGACAGTTATGTTCTGGCTAAATCATGACAGATGAACCATAAGAATGGTAAATGGTTGATTTGGGTAAGAGACTACACTCGATGGATGTGTTAAATCTGACCTAAAAGCACAGGTAAAAGAGAGGAATCCGATAGGAGCGTTTTTCAAGAAATAGCTGTAGTGTATTTTTCAATGCATCTTTCAAAAGTATGTTCTGTGGATATCTGAGCAGATCTTTTATAAGTCCTTCATTTCCCGTTAAAATCTTTTGACATAATACTGTGAGCCTGTTTTCTTAAGTGTGACGTATTTCTTTGGAAATTTGTCTTAGGGGTAACTTATCCTAGGTGTTTTGTTTGAAAATTGTCGTTTGTCCATTCCTTTCTTAGTATGAAAAGTTATAGAAAATAGTGTGTGTTAAAAGATAAACTAATAAGCTATTTTTGAAATACTACTTTTGAAATACTAAAGAGTCATCTGCAAAAATCCTTACAAATAAGTCTGTTTTAAGATCCCAGAACTCCTAAAAGCTTTTAAGCACATTTTTCTAACATCTTCACACATCTTCAGTGCTTGTTATTTTTCTATTTGTCATAGTTTTGTTTTCCCCAAGCTGAG